CATCTGGAAGCACCACAGCAAAAAGTAGAGGGGAGTGGATGAAGAATGAGAATTCATGACAAGGACGACATCAATAGGGCAATGAGGAGCTGTGGCAAGGCAGAGAGCTGTCCCTCTCCTTTCCTCTATGTCAACTCCTGTTGGAAGGTGCTGGTCTCCTCACATGCCACTTTCTGCACAGGAAAAGGAGAAGAGGCACAAGATAATTCTCTGCCCAATGGAACACAAGGAGTCACCCAGACTGTCACCTCTCTCCTTTTACATTCCTGCCATGCTCTTGCTGTACACACAGAGAAGTGTGAGAAAAACAGCAGTACTCTCCCAAGAAGGTGTCTGTTAAACAATTGCTTTATTTTCTCCTCTATGATTTATACATTTACTGTGGTTAACAGTAAAACTGTATGTTCCTGTTAGAGTTTTAAGAATGGAATTTTATTCTAATAATTTAAACAAACTTTGGGCAAACTTAAGGAGGGTTGGTACCGATCTAAAACTTTTGAATATTTTGGAGGCTCTCCATCACAGCAATATGGGCAAGGTAAAGGCAATAGAGAATGCTTTTCCAGGGGCTGAGGGGAAAACTAGGGATGTTTTCCAGTACCATTTGTTATTAATTTATATATTAATAATGTAGGAATGTTATACAGGAAGATAATTGTTGTCCAACACACATTAAGCATAGCTCTATCCTGGTGATACTGTATTCTGATGACAAGGCTGTTTTATCATGCACTTCAAGTGGCATCTGCTGGTTTTCATCTCAATTTTCCTTTTCTTTCAACTCTCCAGCCCTGGTTTCTATTTACAATGAGGCCAAATCAGGATTTCTGGAAAGAATCATCTGGAAACTGAATAGAATATAGAAGGCCACCCAATGTTCTGCTTTGACTTATTGAGGGATAAAGTTGCATGATTCAGGCAGCTGGTTCCCTTCTTCTAAAGACTGAAAACAAATGGTCTTTAGCCCTGCTCAAGGGGTACAGTATTTGACCTGTTCAAATGGTAGGAGCAGTTTCCTCAGAGCTAAGGATTTTCCATACTAATATAATATTGCAGATGATCCATGGGTATGTCTACACAGTATTATAAATATCACTGACACTAAACCAAGATTTCTGCTGTTGGGTATATTACTATCCCTAGAGTGATTTGTGTTTTAGGTCACTTGTGGGTTTAGCTCTGATTCTTAATATACTTGTCGGTTTAGCTCTGATTTCTCAATATACCTCCTTATGGTATGGCCTTTATCCAACTTGTCAAAACTCCGCATCTTTTCTCTGATAGCCCTTTGAGCTGTCTGCAGAAATCTCCATTTTGAAATCAGGAGATATCCTTTATGTGAAATCTTGCTGCAACATAGTCATTTAACTCGGGTTGCTTGTTTACCACTAAAAATAATGATACAAAATTCTGGCACCATAAAACAGAACTGCTGAAATCTCTGAACCCATACATGGTTATTCTCTACACTTCAGTTGAAGTTAGAAGGGTGGCTACTTAGGTTATGGAATCTCCAGTCCAATGGAGCATCAAGCAAAATGGACAGGACTTATGTGATTTTGGTGGGATTTACTGTACAGATTTACACTTTTCATTGGTTTCACAACATATCAGTTTAGTGAATCAGCTTCATTACAAGCAAATGCCTTCATAGTATACTTTATCAAAGATTACTCTGACATAAAAATATCTATCTATCTATCTATCTATCTATCTATCTATCTATCTATCTATCTATCTATCTATCTATCTTTTTTCTTTTTAAAATTCACCAATCCCTGCAAGCTTTCACTAGAAATATACCCCATCGATGATGATGCTTAGCATCCATAGCTTTTGATCTATTTAATGTATGCCATGTTAATTTTATCTAGTTTAGATTTTATTTTAATCAATATGTCATGTGGTATCAAGTTAAATGTCTTACAGAAGACTAAGTATAGTATACCAAGAAATTATCTTCATGAACCAAACAGCAAGTATTCATTTACATACACACGCACACACAGTATGTCTACACTTGATTCCTCCTTTGAGGGAGGAATGCAAATGTAGACATCTGAAATTGCAAATGAAGTGGGGATTTAAATATCCCGCGCTTCATTTGCATAATCACGGATTGCTGCTTTTTCGCACTAGTGCTATTTCGGGATACCAAACTCAGTCCCTGCGGGGTTATTTTGAGAGAAAACCCTTCCCTCGAAATAACCCTTACTCCTCAATATATGAGGTTTAATTAGTTTGTTTGTTGACTAGTTAGTATCTCTTTTCCATAAAACTGTGTTCATTGGCATCCTTTCTTTTACCCTCCTTTAATTCTGAATGAATCCTCACTGTATCAACTGTTCCATTATTTTTCCTAGGATTGATGTCAAAGTGACAGGCCTCTAATAACCCATAGACCCCAGGTCAGCTCCCAGTCTACTGAAATTTCCCTAATGTTCCAGAGTTATTGAAAAACAACATGAATGATCCAGCTGCTTCTCAGCCAGCTCTAGTGAGATCACCTTGAGAATTAAACTTCCTGAGACTGCAGGGCTCTGTTGCAGAAACCTCCAGATACATTTTAATTTTCCATACAATTTCTAATATGTACATTATGCTGCCATATCAAGTCCCAGCTTGATCTGGTATCTTTGATGCTAACTTCTAAGTATGAAGCAAATAATATAGAAGAGACTGATAAAAGAGTAAGTTACTTCACAACCGAGTGAGAGTTTGTGGTTAGCTACTAGAGACTGTTGCTCTTACTCAATGTTCTAGGAGCAAGAGACACAGCATCTGCTATTTTACAAGCTTTATGGGCTTAGCCCTAATTTTGCCAAAAGATTCTTGCTCATCTCTAGATACATATGACATTAGTAAAAATAAATGCTATATTTTCTGTTATAGTTACAGCTGTCCCTGCCTTCCAACATATCTCCCTCTCCACCTAGCTTAATGTAATTTGCAAACTTGCTGAGGGTGCAATCCATCCTCTCATCCAGGTCATTTATAAAGATGTTCAACAAAACCGGCCCTAGAACTGATCCTTGAGGCACTCCGCTTGAAACCGATTATCCTTTTAAATAATTGGTATCCCTATCGTGGGTCCCCATGTCTTCTTTAGATTTTTTTGCCATAAAAAAGTGCTAAAAAGAAGCCTCCCTAGGAAGCCAGGCTTAATATTTTTGTATCAAGTAATAATCACAGTTCTGTAGAAACCAGTGGGGCCTTTGCAGTCTTGCCAGAGCCTTCATGTTTTGTAGAGAGTAAGGTGCCATAGCTCCCTCTAAAATGACTCTGACATTGTGAGCCATGTCAGAGCTGAGATCTGAGCATGACAATATTGATCAGAGCTGGCTCCAGCAGAGCTCAGGCTCCATGTGGGTTGAGGCCTTGTATCTCCCTGTGAAGATCTATCAGTCTCCCTATGGATTGGTAAAGCAGCAGTCTTCTTTGCATGCCACAGAAGATTGGCTATGGAGGCTGCTTAGTTACCTGGAAGTCAGAGGGGAGCCAGGAGGGCCATTTGGCCTGGGCCTCAAGCTCAGAGGGGGTAGGCCTCAATTTTAGACATTTGTTAATTGACAGATAGAATTTTCCTCAGTAATTAGTGAATTTGCACAGAAAAAGGCTAGAAAAGCATTTGTTAAATGTTCAAATTATATGTCTCACTTTTTTGGTGCCTTATTTAGTATTCATGTATCGCCACTTTTTATTTTAATTATGGCTAGGGGCCTCAAAAGCTAGATGTGGTCTGGGCCTCTCTGGACCTCTGAGAGGGCCTGGTCAGAGGGAGGGAGAGGCCAGTGCGGCCCTTCTGAAAACACGCCTGAGGTGTGAGGAAAGTATCTGGGGACTGGGAGTTAGAGGCACCTGAGGGGTTCAAATTAGTGTCCATCCCAGTGGAAGATTCAGCCCCACCCCTTGACAAGAACATAATGAGATGAGATGGTGGCAGCAAGACTCCTTCCATATGCAGTCATCTCTTGGGCTGGCCCTAGTGCCCCACCTCTTGAGTAGCAGTTAAAAATTAACAACCCATTTAGATGAATAGGGCAATTAGAACCTCTCTGAACAACTGTTTCATATTCTTCACAGATTCAGGTAGAAAGTCT